TTATTATGGCTGAGATGTTCACGGGAAGACCTCCTCATTATGATATTGAGTATGATGAAACATTAGCTATTCAAATATGTAATGGATTACGTCCTGAATTTGCTAAAGTCACTCCTGAGTGCTATACTCAATTAGCAAATCAACGTATGGATGCTAATCCTTCTAATAGGCCAACTGCATCTGATATCTATGATAAACTATCAAGCTGGTATCGGATATTATATAATAGTAATGCGGAAAATAAAGATGAATTGGTCATATTAAAAGCATTCCAGTCTGCAGATGCAATTATCCCAACATTATCAATTGAATTGCCAATTTGCTCTAAAGATAAACTTACAAGTAAACTGCTTAACTTTAAAAATCTTTCTAAACAAATTAATTCTTCATTTATTTCGCCGCCAAAATCGTTAAAGATTTGTGGTAAATAATTTACTCTTATTACCATATTTATTTCAATTTTAATCGGTAAAATTTTACTTTTTGATTTTTTAGATTCTACCACTCTCGATTTTTCAATTTCTGATAACGATTGTAATAATATTTCACGTGTGTATTTAATGTTTTAATTTAATAATCTATAATTATATCAATTTATCTATTTTAAATATTTTGCCTTTACAGCCAATAGTGAAGTATTATAAACAATAAATAAGCCTTATCCGATAGCTTACTATGATCGTACCAACAGATAACTCGAGTATTGGATGCTACGCAACCAATAACTTGTTTATCTGGCAGCGAATTTAATATTGTCATTTTCGGGCCGGGGCCAAGCTTACATTTTAAATTTCACAGACAGATAATGAATTATCTTACAAATAATTCCGTTATTTGACGCGAAGCATCCAATAACTATTTATTATTTAAGTAATAATTTATTTCTGAAGAATAAAAAATATGGCAAATTTTATAAACAAAATTAGAATTTAATAGTTTTTTGATAGCATAACAATGAATTTTTTAAAAAAATTTATTACTGCATTTATTAGTTATATACGTAGTCAAATAATAAAATAAAATTATAATTGTAAAAAGAATTATTATTATCTGTACCATTGGTTAGAAATAACCATCTTTATTAAAACTTAGGATTAGGGTGTAGCTTTAAAATAAATAAAGGTTTTTATATAAACTAATTTTTTTAAATAACATAATATGGATCGGGTATTAGGTCCCGATCTTAGTTCTCATGAGGTTTTCAGGGGTTCTGAACATTTTTACTTAACCTACCTGACCCCTGTTTCATAGTGTAGTTTTTGAGATATAGTATAGTGGTTATTCTTAACCACTGGCACGAGTTAAAAATATCCTTGTAAAAATTATAAAACAAAAATATAATTATACTGTACTGTATCAGGTATGACTATATTACGTATTATGCCGTTGCTATACCTGGATAACAAAACTAAACGTAAGGATGTAACGGTAATTTCTAGATATGGTCATACGAAATTAAAATTTTCAAAAACTCAATTTTTGTTTTAATAAGAAATTATCAAAAACTCAATTTTTTTAAATAATTTATATTAAAACAAAACTACCATTTATTTTAGAAGTTTAAATGAATCTAATTCAAAAAAATTAATACTACTTATTTAGTTAAAATCTCATGAATACAAGAACTACTTAGAAAATAAAGTAATATCAGGATATTTCGAGATAGTAGACAGTAAATGAACAAAGATTCACGGAAGTATGGCAACTTCCTCCTATCACAAAACATATGGGCCAATTTGACTCGAAATGATAATACTGTAATATTGAATGCAATCATCATTGTGATAATTGAGTTATCGGTTTGAAACTGGTTTTAATTTATTAAACCCGGGTTTGTTACTGCATAAGTTAATACAAAAGATCAATACAGTCAGACCTCTGTATAATCACAAGTTGATCGCGCTCTAATGTGGTGATTGTATAGAGGTGTGACTATAAACAAATATCAGATGAATATCACGTGATCTTCAGCCAATCAATGATTAATTGGTAATTCATTAGTCATGATCGTCCTACATCTAAAAGTTTTTTTTTGTACTAAGTTAACCACCTTTGAGTCTCTAAGTAAAGTTGTAGAGCTCATTAAGACGAATCTAATGGTGGTTAAATCATCGAAATCGGCCTAGTGGGTGCTGAGATATATTCGAAAAACGTTTCGTCGACTATATAAATTCTTTAAAGAAATTTTCTATAGTCGGCAAAACGTTTTTCGAAGATATCTCAGCATCCACTGGGCCGATTTTGATTATTTAACTACCATTAGATTCGTCTTAATGAGCTCTACAACTTTACTTAGAGACGCAATGTGGTTAACTTAGTCAAAAAACCTTTCAATTAATAAATTAGTGATTATAAAGAGGTTTTTTATTAATAAATTGGATTTAAAAAATTAAATTTTAATGTGATAGTGATTATAAGTGATTTGTGACTATAATGAGGTTTTTTTACTATGTTTAAGTCTATCACACAATATTGGGTGCTTATATAGAGGTGTGATTATATGGGGTGTGACTATAGAGAGGTCAGACTATATAATAAAAAAAAATTCAAAGATTTAAAAATCTTATTTAGAAGACGATTATTTCATGTTAATAATTTAGAAACATTGTTTCATATAAGAATATTTTCAAAATATCATTTTATAAATATTTTTGAAATGTTGTAAATAAGATTTTAAAATAAAGACAATTCTTGTACTCAATATGAATGAACCAAAAATTTTACATAAAATAGCCTAAGGTTTTGTATACAAGTAACCTAAATAGTTTAATTAAGTGTAAAACATTAAAAATCTGTGATATTAATTTCAAGGACAAATTTTTAACTAATTAGCACAACAATGATTTCAAGAAGCTTATTTGAGATAATAGTTGATGATTGTTATTTAATCATGGATTTATTTTTAATGACAAAAATTAATTCGATTGGTATAAAATTTGAGATAACATATAAGTGTTGGCAAGGAAAAATCTTGAACCAACAATTATAGTTCTAAGTTCATGAGAGTTTACTGATTTCCTAAAGTTTCGTTTTCAGCCAATCAGAAAGAAAGGTCAGGTGTAATGTGACAATCAAAACAACAATTACACTTTTTGTAGCATGAGGATATTTGAATCTGATGATTTCTGAGATCAATATTACACAAGTATTTATAAAGGATAGTAGTGTAAAAACCAGAATTTTGGGTATAAGAGAACTTAAAAAAACAAAACTAAACATACTAATAAAATATCTTCGTATCGAACATCTTGTTAAAGCATCAAGTTGTATCAAGCTTGCATCATACTACAAAAGGTAGATATATTAAGAGTTGAAGCACTGTCTACCGTATTCCTTAAACTGTTTCTTGTACAAATTTGTACTAAAATTTTTTTAAAAGGTTTATTTTTAAAATAAAATTCTAAATATTAATTTTAGCTATATACTTTTTAAGTAAAAAATATATTTTGAGATATATTTTAATAATTTTGTAAAGAAAAAATTTTAATTTTATTAAAAAACTTAAGAATAATAAAGATTTAAAGTTTTTATTTTGAATTTTTTATTATAAAATCTTTCATTAATAGACAATTCATCTATCATCTGGAGAGGATCTGCAAATTTTATAAGTAAATTTTATTATTAGCCAAATGTGGAGAGATTTCTTCTAAAACTTTTTTTCTTACTAAGTAAATTACTCTTGAGCTTTTAACAAAAGTTGTAGAGCTCATCAAGACGCATATAATGGTGGTAAGAACACTAAAATCGGCCTGGTAGTTCTTGAGAAATCTTAAAAAAAACATTTCACTAACATATAAAATTTCTTTAAAAAAAATCGATTTTTTTAAAGAAATTTTATATGTCGGTGAAACGTTTTTAAAGATTTCTCAAGAACCACCAGGCCGATTTTAGTGTTCTTACTACCATTAGATGCATCTAGATGAGCTCTACAACTTTTGTTAGAAGCCCAAGAGTAATTTACTTAGTAAGAAAAAAGGTTTTTTTTATATTTCCTTAAAAAATCTCCACATTTACTATTTGAAGATTTTATATATAATTTATATATAAATCTTGTGTAATCTGCATCATATAGCTCTCCAGATGACTGATTAAATTTTTAAAATTTTATATGTTCTGTCTATAAAATTTTTTTTTACTTCTAATACAAGTCTTGATTTTTACAAATAAATTACAAAATTACAATAATGAAAATCAATTATTATAAAACGCATCTATGGTGGTTTTGCACCTATTATATGTTTTTATTATGTTTTTTTAAAAATTTCCAAATTTTTATAAGTTTTGTATATAAAATTTTCAACACCAATTTTTTTACGTTAAAGTTAATATTAAGGTTAGAATTAGGGTTTGGGAAGGGTTTTTGGGGGCGTAGAACATTTTTACTTAGAACACCTCACATTGATTAATTAGCCAGTTTTTGAGATAATATATACATAGGTGTAAAACACCATAGGTACGTTTTAGTAAAATTTATAAAAATTATAATCCTTTATTTAAACTATAATTTCTATTAAAAAACTATAAATTTAAAATTAATATTTAAAGAATT